TAGTTAAATTTTCAGTTCAACTTCTTGTTGTGAGAATGACACCTTTGACAATTCAGTGCTGTCTCAGTCACGTCCAGGAGTGTCAGCCAATATTAGGCTCAATAAAGTACTTATTTTCTTATGGGAGATCTGCTAATATTTTGTGAAAAGTGAGAGCCATGTTATACACTTATTGAGCTCTGCAAATGCAAACAGTTCAGATAAAGGCAAATATCCTCTTTGGACATGCAGTTCTTTATTACATTGGACAACTAAGTCCCTATGCTCTTTAGAGAATATTGCAGTCTGAGATTTTAACTGAGTGAAAAGCACATTACTATTTCTGATTCTACAATCAAAAGCAGAAGCCAAATTCTAGAAGCTATTTCTGCTCAAGGGCAATCATTCTTCTTTGGAAAATGTTTCTCTGGTCAATTTTAAGTTCCTCTTCTCCATCACACTCCATCGCTTCCAACAATTTCTTCATCCTCACATCTCGTACTTAATGGAGGAGCTTTTTCTGTCAAAGTGTTACATTTGAGGACTTCTCCAAATCAAAACTATCTGTTCCTCCTGAGCTCTTATGTTTTGAAAGATGTCCTTGGTAGATGCAACTGGTGGTTAGGGAGTTCCTTAGTGCTTGCTGGAAGTGGCTGGTTTAGGTTACGAAGTATCTTCATTTCATAACATGGCTTTGCAGGTGTTTGCTCAAGAAGATCGCCCTCCCCAATCCCATCAGTGGACAGGCTGGAACAGCCTAAGAGAACTGGAATAGTTATTTGAGGAATGTGGCACAAGTACATACAGAACCCTCAAAGGATACCGGACATCTTGCAACATGCCATACCTTTTCCTTTTCCAAAGAAGTAGATGAAAGACTTGGTATCCATAATGGTTGAGTTAGATCTTCTACTTGATCATGAGTATATTGTTGAGTGCCATGCTGCAGGTGGATGTTTTCTTTTACCATCTGTGCCAACCTTTGGGCAGCAAGATTACCTCTCAAAGCATAGCCTTATTCAAACCTTTACTGCTCGATAATAAATGGTATTCAAAACAGACAGGACCAGTTATCACATCATCTCATGATGCAGCATAAGGAGATGCAGACCCCTAATGACACTGGACACCCAGTACTATGCCATATCTTTTACTTTCAGTGAAGGGTCACTTGACCTGAAATGTTAACTTTGATTTCTCTCCATAGATGCTGCCAGACCTGCTGAGCTTTCCTTGCAATTTCTACATTTGTCTTTTTTTCTTTTACTTTACCAAGAAGCAGTTGAAAGATTTGGCATCTATAATAGTTGAGTTGCTGCAGAGAGCAAAGTTGGACCATTGCATCATCACTACTTGAGCATTGTATGGATATAGCCTTTAGCTGAAGGTCTCCTCTGAATATCTGTTACATAGTTATTTTTGCCTGTAGTATTGCTTTTGTGGAAAAGTTGCCAGCTCTGGTTGTGTTTATTTCAGGACATTTCATCATGCGACTCACATCTGACCGCTTTACCACACGGTCTGATCATTGGTCACATGACTGATTCTCACTTCACATGACCTTCCTGCGTCCATTGAAAAGCAAACTCTTCCTTACCAATTGTGTGATTATTGAGATTCGCTTAAACAGCACCTTCTAGCATCTTCCTTATTTTTAACAACTAATAAAAATGTGCTCATTGAAAATAAATAAAACTCAGAATTATTTTTATTCCTATATGATTTTCTCTTGGACTGTGCCCAGCAATAGCTGAGGGATTCATCGTTAATACTCTGAAACAACACAACACTCCTAGATTGTTGGTAACCCTGGGTGTGTTCATAGAATCATTTAGCAGAGAAGATGGATATTCAACCCATCATATCTATGTTAGCTCTTTGAAAAAGGCAATCCAATTAATCCCACTTGTCCCACTGTTCCCCAACAGCCCTGCAAATCTTTTCTTTCATGTGTAGTCCCATTCCCTCTAGAAATTTACCATTTAATCTGCTTGTACTGCTCTTTCAGGAAGTGTATTTCAAACCTAGATCTTCAACTTGATCATCAATGTATTAGAGTCATAGAGATATACAGCACAGAAACAGACCCTTTTGTCCAACTTGTCCATGCAAACCAGATATCCTATATAGATCTAGTCCCGTTTGCCAGCATTTGGCCAATATCCCTCCAGACCCTTCTTATTCAGATACCCATCCAGATGCCTCTTAAATTTTGTAATCGTACCAGTCTCCACCACTTCCTGTGGCAGCTCATTCCATAAATGCATCACCCTCTGCGTGAAAAAGTTGCCCCTTAGATCCCTTTTAAATCTTTCCCCTCTCATCTTAAGATTATGCCCTCTAGTTTTGAACACTCCAACCCCAGGGAAAATACCTTGTCTATTTACCCTATCCATGCCCCTCATGATTTTATACACCTTTATAAGGTAACCCCTCAGCCTCCAATGCTCCAGGGAAAATAGTCCCAGCCTATTCATCCTCTCCCTTTCACTCAAACCCTCCAACCCTAGCAACATCCTCATAAATATTTTCTGAACGCTTTCAAGTTTCACAACATCCTTCCTATAACAGGAGAATTGCATGCAATACTCCAAAAGTGGCCGAACCAATGTCTGTACAGCCACAACATGACCTCCCAACTCCTATACTCAATGCACTGACCAATAAAGGCTCTTCACTATCTACCTGTGACTCCACTTTCAAAGAACAATGAACCTGTACTCCAAGCTCTCTTTGTTCAGCAACACCTCCCAGGACCTTACCACTAATTGCATAAGTGCTGCCCTGATTTGCCTTTCAAAATGCAGCACCTCACATTTATCTAAATTAAACTCTATTTTTACTCATTGGCCCATTGGCCCATCTGATCAGGATCCCTTTGTATTTTGAGGTAACCTCCTTTGCTGTCCACTACACCTCCAATTTTGGTGTCATCTACAAACTTACTAACCATCCCACCTATGTTCACATCTAAATCATTTATATAAATGGTCTCCAGTCTGAAAAACAACACTCCACCACCCCCCTCTGTCTTCTACCTTTGAGCCTGTTCTGTACCCAAATGGCTAGTTCTCCCTCTCTTTAATGTGATCTGATCTTGCTAACAAATCTATCATGAGGAACCTCGTTGAACGCCTTGTTGAAGTCTATATAGATCACATCCACTGCTCTACCCTCATTAATCCTCTTCGTTACTTCAAAAAACACAATCAAATTAGTGAGACATGATTTCCAACGCACATTGCTGAGTGCTCAGCTGCAGATGGGTGTTTTCTTTTACCATTTGCTCTAACATTTGGGCCCTCAAGACAGCAAGATGGTCAATCATGCAGCAGCCTAGATAATTTTTTGATACGTCTTGTGCAGGGTTGTGGCGCTGAACCTGGCTACCACTGTTGGATTGTACCAAGATACTGTCTACAGATCATCTTCAAGCAAATCTCTCAACTTTATGTCTGCCCCTTAATGAAGAGCAGTATACAAAGATAACTTTCCTGGAACATTCTGAACAGACAAATTCCGGTTTATAGAATTTTCAGAAACCCATTCTGAGAAAGTGATCAATTATACAAAAGCTGGCATTACTTTCCCCAGAGATAGTAGGAACTGCAGATGCTGGAGAATCTGAGATAACAAGGTGTAGAGCTGGATGAACACAGCAGGCCAAGCAGCATCAGAGGAGCAGGAAAGCTGACGTTTCGGGACTCTTGATTAGCATAGGAAGATGGATAAAGAAAGTGCAGGTCTTTATTCATGAATTATTGCTGTTATAATAGGATAGGCCACTTCAGAAGGCAATTAAGGATCAACTACTTTGGCAATAGGCCAAGTAACAAGGGTTAATTCCCTAACAGACATTAGTACATCACTTGGCTGTCTCAACATACTTAGGGAAAGGAAATCCATCTCTGCAACTGAACCTTGTTTTGATTCACTCATGGGACATGGGCATCACTGGCTGGACCAGTATTTATTGCCTATATGTAGTTGTCCTTGAGAAGGTGGATGGTGAGCTGTAGGTAAACTCACAATGCTTTTAGGGAAGGAATTCCAGGATTTTGACCCAGCTACGGGCGAGGGAAAATTGATATATTTCCAAGTCAGGTTGGTGAGTGGCTTGGAGGGCAACTTGAAGGTGATTGTGTTCCCATGTATCTGTTGTCCTCCTTGATGAAATTGGTGCTAGGTTTGAATGATGCGATCAAGAAAACTTGGTGAATTACTGCAGTGCATCTTGCTTCATCCATTTCTGTCTTGATAAAATAACAGAGAGAGGAGGAATCCTATCAGGAATGTCAGCAGATGGGCAACTGTCTGTGTGGAGTTTGCACATTCTCCCTGTGTCTGTGCTCCGGTTTCTTCCCACAGTACAAAGATGTGCAGGCTAGGTGGATTGGCCATGCTAAATTGCCCGTAGTGTTCAGGGATGTGTATATTAGGTGGGTTATGTGGGGATGGGTCTGGGTGGGATGCTCTGAGGGTCGGTGTGGACTTGTTGGGCTGAAGGGCCTGTTTCCACACTGTAGGGATTCTATGATTCTATGAGGGGGAGGGGGCAGTTTGAATGTCCACTAGAAATTGTGATAAATCTTTGCAGAGAAAACCTTCATTCTCAAAATTGCATTATGCCAGGCATATTAAATACAGACTACATGCAAGGGGTTGAGTTCAAAATCATTCTACCAATGGTACATAATCTCTAGACAATGGTGGGACTTCCAACAGGAATATTTAGACTTGTCCCGTAAGAGTTCATTATAACTTTACTGTTATACAACAAAATATTTCCTTGGTCAATAGTCAAATGCAATTCATATTTTTAGTATTGTTGTAAATTAATAGATAGCTACTACTTCATATACTAATAAGTGGCTGTGCAGGGCAATATAACCTAGTAACAAAGAAGAAACAGTAATAGTTTTAAAATACATTTCTAGATAATACTCCCATTACTTCCTCCTTTTTTTCTGCTTATAACACACTGTATAACTATGTAACACCAAGTTCCCCTTTTGTCTCTGACGGGTTGTGTGCTGCAGTTGTTTGGTCTTACTGAACATTGAAGAGAAATCATTTTGCTTGTAAGTAGACGTTATCTTTGAAAAGAATCCAAACTGTAATCTGAGCATTTGTCTTTTGTCAATTAATGTACTTGATTGGAAGACATTGAGCATATTTTTTCAAGCTAATAGCTTCATCAGTTGCTCTCTAGCAGCATTCTGAAACTGGCACTTCCACTTCATGCTTCTTTTACCTTCTCCTCCAGATCCTGCCACACTTGTAGCTCTGATTTGCTAATGTAAATGGGGAATTACTGGCTTCACTTAGACTAGTTAAATTGGAAAATGAAACTGCCCATTACCCTCCTTTTAGCTCAGTTTCTTCATATCAAGTACATTTAAGAATTCGTTAATTTCAGCCAAAGTAATACTAAGATTGACAAAGTGGTGCCAATACTGAGTACGAAAGGAATATGGTTACTGCTCAGAACTAAAGGGGTGATCCATTAAAATCTAAGGAGATCTTTATTTGCTTCCAGTCCAAAAGGGCATTGAAGCCAGAGAAAAGATAGCAACAGATCTCTGAATTTGGATCTGTGTTAATTAATTACTTTTGCATCAGATTTGACACATTAATTGCACGAAATATGCATTATTATTTCAACTCACTAAATGCAGATAGAGCCATGAACTGCTGCTCCGTCCCTACCTCCACTGAGATGGGGATATGGCCAAGTTCTGCAGTCCATCTCTGTCCATTCCTGCCATAGAGGGATTCATTCTCTACTATTTTTGCTTCGTCTTTTATGTTTACTCAGTGAGGTATTTATAGCGTTCTTATATTCCTGATTATTTGAAGCTTGCCTCCAGCTGCAGTTAAAGTACTGCCCTACTTTGTTTTTAAGGATGTTATTCGAGGAACTTTCTTTCAACAATGTAACTGAGATATGGAACATGTCATGTGGGAAATCACAGCAGTCTGTTTTAGTGTCTCACTGCTCCTTCAGCCAATATATCAACTTGTACTGTGGCTAACACAAGCACTTGATAGTTAACATGAATCATATGTAATCAGAAACAGTGATGTGCATACACTTATTCTGTACTTGCAATGCCTAGAAAATTGGAACTTTCTTAACTGTCTTATCCAATAACCACTTAGATGATGAATTTTATTGTAATCATCTAGAACTGAGTTGATCACATTGTAACGCACACGAAGCCCAATTCACCTTCATCCTGTTCGTGATGATTGATTGACATTGACTCCCAGTTAAACACCTTGACCAACAGAGTGGAACAGAACACTTTTATGTTGTCCCAGGGTTTAGACTTCTTGTACTCATTCCTATAGGGAGTTTCAAATGACAGGAGGGGAAATTGTCCTGTGTTTGTGGGATGAACATTTTGGCTCTGGCAAGGCCATGTGCATGATCAGAAAATCAGACCTTCACAGTAAGCATCAAATATTTCCAGGTCAGGAATGGCACAACTAGTTACATTGCACCGACAATTGACTTCGAAAATAAATAGTCCATCCTATCCCTTAGTTCATAGATATCACTGGGATCAGGTATGTGCGCTGATACATGCTGCCAGGGAACTGTAAACTAGGGTCCAAATGGAATGTGTAAAATTTTGTATCTGAATCATCAAATGGCAGTTCCCCAGTAGCCACATTTCTAGTCTTGCTTTGCTTCTTTCTTGCTAAACACTTGCATGCAAAGTAATTCAGCCTCATTCAGGTAGAGCATTGCATTCCTTGTGCTGGGTATATTCTCCTTTTACCTTTTGTGATATTCTCCCCGGTATTTATATCCCACCCTCTAGCCTTGGTCTTTCTGCTGGCTTTTCTACAAATATTTCTTACTATTTTTTCCTATATATTGTTCTTGCTCAGCCTGGAATGTCTTTCAGGATAATGCCAATATCTGTTTTCACATTTATCAGCCCCTAGCTGACGGTTGACTATTTCAGAGTTTCTGCACATATTGATGGTTTGATTCAGAGTAGGTTTCTCTTTTCTCAGTAAACAGGCCTTCGTGGTAGAATCTCCTATAACAAGATAATGCTAACTCTGATGGGATGGAACATGTCATGTGGGAAGTCACAGCAGTCTGTCTTAGTGTTTCACTGCTCCTTCAGCCAATATATCAACATGTACTGTGGCTAATACAAGCACTTGAAGTTAACATGAATCAAATGCAATCAAGTGATGTGCATACACTTATTCTGTACTTGCAATGCCTAGAAAATTGGAACTTTCTCAACTGTCCAAATTCACATGATCAGCGAGATGTAGCAGTGTGGCCACATTCTGATCAATAGTCTCTCTCTCTCTCCAAGCTCTGATGTTGAACACTCACTGTCCATAAGTAATGTTAATATGGGATGCAAAGTGTGTTTTCAAAGCTATTAAAATCTCCTCTAACTGGCTTTCCTCTTCCTTCTCAGTGCAAGCCACATATAAAATCAGAGCTACTTGACATATTGTTGTATTTTGTAAAAGATAGACTGTTAGTCGAATTAATGCTATTATTATCAGTATATGGGATGGCAAATAATAAGAGATTGGAATGTGGAACTTGCTACCACAAGGATAGTTGAGGTGAATAGCATGGATGCATTTAAGTGGAGCCCAGATAAGCATATGTGGAAGAAAGGAATAAAATAATTTGCTGGCAGAATTATGTGAAAAGCTATGTAAAAAGACCACTTGGAGCGTAAATGCCAGTAACAACAACAGCTTGTAATTATATAGTGTCTTTTAATATAGTAAAACTTTCAATGTTTTTAATAGGATCATTATCAAAGAACGTTTGACACAAAGTGACTTAAGAATGTGTTAGAAATCGGTCAAAGATTTAGACTTTGAGATAGGTCTTAAAGAAAAAGTGGGAGAGGAAGGATCTAGGGAGGGAATTCCTGAGTTTAGGGCCTAGGCAGCTAAATATACAATGAAGCCAGCAATGAGTCATATCTTCACAAAGCAATTATAAGATTATGTTGAAGACAACACACTCCTGTATTTCAATGAGAT